GGATATTGATCGATATAGTAAATGAAAAAACTCGTTTAAATTAAAATCAACTTCAGATGATTATTATTATTATTATTAATGGTAATTAAAGTTATTTAATTTAAAAAAAAAATTATGTATATTAATAAATATTTATTAGTATTACATATTTTCATTCGAATTAATTGTGAAAACTAACATTCACTCTGAACAATGTAAAATAATTTAAAAGTTATTAATTAAGTTTTTATTTATTATATTGTTGTAATTTTATGGATTAGATTATGTTTTGGTGATTAAATTAAAAATGTATTCTAATTAAGAATTTACATACTCGCTTTGTTATTGTTATTATTATTGTTGTTGTTTTTTTACGTGAAAGCAATAATAATAATAATAATAATTTTTTAAAAACGAAAAATTTTGTAAATCGTCGTGATTATTTATTTATTTTCCAAAAAAAAATTTTTCATACATACATAGGAAAAGATTGCGATCTAAGTTTAGAACAAATGAACAGCTGTTAATTGTTTTGAAGATTTCTGGGGAAGATTTTTTGAATAAAATTTTAGGTAAAGGATTTTTTTTTTTAAAGTTGCCATCCATATTTCACAGGTGTATCACGTCACGTAGGAGCACCTGGCCAAAAAAAATTGACTGTTCATTCATTCATTCATTTATTTATTTATTTACGAAGGGTTTATTAAATGATTGTGATCACACAAAACGATAAATTTTAATAAATTTTATTTCACTTCAGAGTTGATTTTTTTTACTATAGTTTGACAAATTTGTGGTAAATTAAAAAATTATGTGAAAAATTACAATCATTTTCCATATATATATATATTAACATAATAATTTTTATGATATCATATGATTGTTATATCAAAACTTATACTTACAATATTCTTTATTAAAGAAAGTCTTTTTAAAATTAATAAATTTTAAAGGAAAAATAATTAATTGATTTACTAAATTCAATTTTTTTTCTTTTAAATCTCATTTTTATTAAATGCACAAAAAGGATGTGAAGTTAATAAAATTTTTTTTTAACATAAGGCAGATGTGCACTTCGCGTTGTTTTTAAAAAGAAAAAAAGAAAACCATATGGTGTTTAAAGGTGTTGTGCCTATAAAATTATAAAACTACTACCTCAAAGTGTTCCCACGCTATTGAAAGCACAGCAGCTATCGTATCATTTGTTTAAACATCCTCACAATAAAATAAGATTTTTTTTTTTTCGTATTAACGGCCTGTGATTAAAAATATATTTTTATGTCATGATGTTCTTGTTAAGCTCAATATTTACTTACCTTTCAATTTTTTTTTTTTTATTAATTTAATATGTCATTGTAGTTATTTTTTAATTTACATTAAATTTTATTTATAAGAACTTTTACATTAATATCTGTATAAATATTTTTATTTATTTTTATATTGTATTTATTAGTTTTGTGTGTTTTTCAAAATGACTTTTCAATTTTCAATTTGCATCAAAGATTGTTATATATATATTTATGTATTTTGTAGTTTTAAATTCATTGTATTCATCTCAGGAAAATATATGTAAGGGAAAACACATGTGCAAATAAAAAAAAAAAAAAAAACTTTTTTAAAGGCAGAGAGAGTACATGTGCATCAATGTTGTACTCTCTCTCTCTCTCTCTCTCTCTCTCTCTCATTTTGTGAAATATGAAAAACCGAGTCGTACAAAGTATTTTTATCGTTACAATAAATCATCTTATCGGTTGAACATGATTCAACATAAATTGACATAATTTTTCCCGCGAATTTTTTTTTGTTGTTGTTGGTTAACATCACTTGCACTTAAAAAGTACAAATAACAGTAGATTAACAAAACAATTATATGTTTATTTAAAACTTGAGTAATACATTATTTATTTTTTTAGAGCAATTTATATAAACTTAAAATAAGACTTATGTTGTTTTTTATGTTTTTAAAATTTTATAAAAACATTTTTTTTTTTGAATTTGTTTAAATATTTGTAAGATGAAATTGACCAAGAGTATATTTAGATTTTTGTTTTTGGAAAGGTTATTTTGTTTTAATGAAAAATAAAACAAAAATATTTATTGATACTTTGATTTATTAACACTTTTAATAACTTTATTGAAAATTTATGATTTAATATATATTCATTGGAAATCAAAGTCAAAAATCAATTTATAAGGTATTTTAAGGTTAATGTAGAAATTTAACATGTCTGACTTAATATTGCAAAACTAAAATAAAATTTAGATTTCCCATTGCGAACTTTGATCATAATTAATTTTAGTAATTATAATAAAAAATTAATTTTTCCCTTTCAATGGCTCTTTTTTTTTTAAATTTTTAAATGTGTGAAATTCAAAATACCAACTAAACAAACAATTGCATAAAGTACTTAACAAGTTTTATTATTATCAAACATGTTTAATGTATTTATGTTTTTCGTTATAAAAAATAATGAACCTCTTAATGTTCTAAATTTTAAATTCTACTCTTTTTAATATATAACCATATTAATTGTAGTTTGCAATTTACCCCTGTGACGAATATTAAATTAATTTCAAAAATAATTTTAATTTGTTTCAAAAAACTTTAGTTTTTTTTTTTTTTTTTTTAATTTAAATATTACTTAACCTATTATTTTAAAATTTTATTTATTAATAATTAAAATTGTTATTTTATTTACTCAAATTATTATTTTTTTTTTTTTAAATTTAAAATTATTAAAATAAGTTTTAATTAAAATATTAAAAGTCGGAAGGTAAAAGCATGAAAATTACGTGACCCTGACCAGGTTTTGATGTCTGACGAGACTTGCAGAGCAGGTATTGCAGTGAGCCCCAGGTAGTCAAACGGAGTTACCGGGAGGTCACTCACCTTATACTCTAAATATTGCTCGGGATGTTCCTTTGCCTTTTCTTTTGTCAAATGATTAAAAAAAAATAATAATTTCTAGTAGTAGTGACAACAAGTAAACGAATAAAAGTAATTTAATTTTTTTTTTTAATTAGCTTTTCAAAATTTATCTGTACCTTTTTTTTTTTTTTTTTAAATTATTATTCTTTTTTGATGCGTGTGTGTTTTACGTGTTTATTAATGTTAATGAAATGAATCAAAAAAGTGTCGTTATTATAAAAATTTTTTTCTATCAAAAAAAAAAATAATGACACGATTCGAAATTTCGACTCTATAAAATAATTTTTTAGTGTTAAAAATTAAGTAGTAATAAGTAAGCTTACTATTATGATTATTATTTTGATTTGTACCTTACTTACCTTTAATATTTACAAAAAAAAAAAAAAAAAATTTTTTTTGTGAAATAAATCAAAAATTAATTAAAATATTTTTTAAAAAAATTTTTTAAGTAGAGCTAATGAACTTTAAACAGGAATTAATTAAAAGCTTTAAAATTCAAAAAATTATTTTAATTTTAATAGTTTTGTTGAAGGTTTTCTAATTGTAAATTCTTTTTTTTTAAATATTTTAGAAAAAAAAAAAAGTATAAACTCAAATCCAGTTTTTCTGTAAAATATTTTTTTTTTAACAGTATAACAATGATTTGATTAAATTAAAATAAAAAATTTTATAATTTTAATGCCATTTAAATTACAAATGGTTATTTTTTTTTTTTTTTTAAAAAAATGCCCTGCGATGGGAATAATATTTCTATATATTAAATGTTGAATTGTTACTTTTATTTATTATACTAATAGAATTCCATAACATTAAAACTTTAACTTTAATTATTATTATTATAAAATTAATTTTAAAATTTTTTGTTAAATAAATGTTTGTTTTTTTTTTTTAATTCAGGCATTTTTTTTTTTTTTTTTTTGTTAAGTTTTGACAGTTACTAATGGCGTTGTATTTTTTTTTTTTTTTTTTTCAGGCTCACCCCATGTGAGCTATTGGACCCCGCGTGGCCCAAAATGAGCGCCGTTACTGGTGCCACTAGCAAGAAACGAAAAAAAACTGACTCAAAACCTCAGTCCCAAATGTAAGTATTTATTTATAAAACATGGCGTGGCACGAGTGTCATAAAATAATAACCTAGGAAAACCTATCAAAAAAAAAAAAAAAAAAAAAAAACACTTGACATGTGTTGTTTTTATACAATTGTTGAACCTAAAAGTTAGTTGCCTTCCATTATCGTCAAAAATAATATTTATATATTTTAATTTTCTTCCTAAAATTTTATACTATGAGATATTTTTTAATTTATTAATGTAAGTTTTGTGAAAGTGTCACCATTGATTGTAGAAAATTGAAATGTTTTTCTTCAAAAATTTAAAGAAAAACTAATTTAATTAAAATTAGTTAAAAATTTCTTAACATAATTTTGTTTAAAAAAAAGCCATTTGTTTTTTTTTTTTTTTTTTAACTAATAACATTCCTCTAATATTATTATTATTAATTGCACTACTAACATATTTTCTATTTGTTGACCTTTGATTTTTTCTGATGTTCGCTTAAAAATATAAATCGAGTATTATTTATGTGTGTCATAATAATATTAGAAAAAAGCTATCTATTATCGATATTTTAATTAATATTTATTTTCGTGTGTATATAAAAAAAAAATTTTCAAATTTGTTGTATTTAATTAAATTTCTAAATTATTATTAAATTAAAGACTTACCCTTGCACAAATGAATTATTACCATTAAAAAAATTTTTTTTGAAATAATTATTTAGTAATTCGTTAAATAAAATTCAAAATGATACATGATAATTTCTTGGTTCTTTTTTTTTTTTTTTTTTTTTCCTCCTCGGTAATATTTTGCACGCGCAGTAGCCTTCGCTCAAATACCTTATATATATGGTAATATTCATTGGTAAGACCTAAATATTTGAATCAGGCTTTTGCTTTAGTAAGCAAAGCATTAGCCTGATTTAGTTTTACAGGCTTGCATTTGAAAAGTGTGTGATACGTTTTGCACACATTAAAAAAAAAAAATAGCTCAGTCGCTAGCACTGATTACTCCACCTGGAACTAATAATAATAATAATGGAATCAAAAAGGTAAAATTAATAAATCAATTGGTTTTTTTTTTTTTTTTTTTTTTTTTAATGAGTGATCTACAAAATTCTAGGAGTTTGTGAAAACGAAAAAAAAAAAAAAAAAAAAAAAAAATTTATTACTCAAGCAAAAGTATTGTATTTACGTTAAAAAAATTATTATTATTATTATTATTATTTTTATTTTTTTTTGTTTTTTTTTTGTTTCAGTAATAAGTGCCTTAATGAAAAGCGACGACGTGAGCAAGAAAACATTTACATTGAAGAGCTGGCTGAGTTAATTTCTGCCAGCTTTGCTGACATGAGCTCTCTGTCAGTCAAACCAGACAAGTGCGCCATCCTTCAAGAAACCGTCAATCAGGTATATAATTTCATTTAATAAAAAAAATATAATATTTGTTCAATTGAGTGTTTAAATGTATCATTTTAATCTATGGCTAATATTCTTTTTTTTTTTTTAATTTTGATTTAGTTTTATAGAGCTTTAAAAAAAATATATATAAAAAGTTAAATTTTGTGTTTAACCATTTTTTAATAATTTTTTTTTTTTTTTTTAATTTACAGTTTATTTTTTAAATTAAATTATTTCATTTAAACTGATGTTAAAATTATTAATGTAGGTTATTAAAAATTAAATCATCCCTGACAAGGAAGTGAAATATAAAAACTGTAATTGTTAAATAACAATTGTTTATAAAACAATTTCAAGGATTAGTTTTGTTTAAAAAAAAAAAAAAAAGAATAAAAAACCTTAAAAATTTTGTTCTTTTTATTCTTTTTAATTTTCCCTTTATTAATATACGTGTGTTTAAAAAAAATCGATTGGTTAATCGATCATTATTTGTTCAGATAAGACATATTAAACAACAAGAAAACTGCAGTGGGGATGCTGCTGTGCAACAGGGTGAAGTCTCATCATCCAATCCGACAGTGTTAAGAAACGAAGTTTTTGGACCTTTGTTGTTAGAAGCTCTGGACGGATTTCTTTTCATTGTTAACCTCGAGGGAAAAATAGAATTTGTCACAGATAACGTACATCAGTTTATTAAATTTACAAAGGACGATTTATTTGGAAAAAGCATTTATAATATAATTCATCATGGCGATCATGCCAGGTTTAGTTCTAGTCTATTGCCTATGACCATAGGTAAGTTTTTTTTTTTTTTTTTTTTTTTCTTTTCTAAATTAATCTTGGCTAGATTATAATTTTTGATTATCTAAAAAAATTACTCCGTGCAATTTAATGAAAATAATTAAAAAAAATTTATAATGTCATTTTTTGCTTTTAAATATATTTTTCCCTACTCAAATATTGAGGTTGTTTTATTTTAAAAATGTTTTAGGTTGGCCAGAACCAAATCCTCAAAATAGCAGGCGGACTTTTAACTGCCGACTGTTGATTAAACCTCCTGATGATCAGGAGGAAACTATGGAAGAAAAGCAGCAAAGAATATCAAAATATGAAAATATGCAAATTCAGTGCACTCAGGTACATTTTATTATTATTCCAATATTATAAAATACTGTTTAAAAAAAAAAAAAAGAAAATTTTATCTACTTTTCTTTTATTTGTTACGGAAAAAATACAATGTATTTTTTTTTTTTTTTAAGGTACAATTAAATAAAGAAAAAGGTGATTCTGATGATGTGACTTCTGAATCATCTGAAATAGGAAGCGGTACTTTAATGTGTGTAGCTAGAAGAATACCTCAAAATGAGAAATCTGTGGGTACACCTATCGAACAATTTACTATGAAACTTGATACAAGCGGAAAAATAATCGGAATTGATACAATTGGAGTTTCCGCTACGTATTCACAATACCTTAATAAAGTACGTAGCTTAATTTTTTTTTTTTATTACACACGGTAAATGAACCATTTTTCAATTTGAAAAAATTTGATTTCATTTTAGGACCTTATGGGTCAGATAATTCAAGAAATGTGCCACCAACAAGATTTACAAAAGCTCGCGAGTCACTTAAAAGAAGCTTTGACAACAGGTCAAAGTACAAGTGGGATTTATCGTTTAAGAGTTGGTACTCCCGAAAAATACGTTCTTGTTCAAACAAAATCCAAATTGTTTAAGGCAAATTCCACAATGCCTCAGGAACCTGATTTTATAATGGCTACTCATTCCATTATTGGGTAAATTTTTTTTTTTTTTTTTTTTTTTTTTTTCTATTAATTATAAATTTATTTTTTAGTAACTTTTTAAAAAAAAAAAAAAAAAAAGAAGGGGATTCTCTGTGCTTCTTACGGTAGTAAAAGAAGTTTATTTGTATTAATTAATTATGAAAATTATTGCGCAAATTGACAAATTTTTAAAATTTCCAAAAAATAATTTTTTTCTCGAAATTTTTAAAAGCTATTTTTTAAATTTCTATTTAATCTCCCCCCCCCCCGCCCCCAAATTAAAATTATATTTAAGTTCTATTAGAATTTAATATTAAAAATAACGAAATAAATTTTCAATTTTTTTTTGACATCAGAAAAAATTATATAAATAAAATTTTTCGAAGGATATCTCAAATTTATTACAGAAGTCAAACCCCCTAAAAAAAAGATATGTTTCCCACGTTAAATTAATTTTTAAAAAATTTTGAGAGGCTTATTTACTAGAGTATAGTTTCTGGGCAATTTTTTTTGTCTTACGGGTAATAAAAGGGGTGGGTGAGTCGCTTGCATGGTGTTGGGCCCCTTAGCCTTGGGGAGTTGGCCGTTCCTTTGCTTTTAATGCATGTTTTCATTTGTTCATATTTTTACACACATGTTTTCGATTATTCATTATACACATACACGCTAATAGCCAGTTATCGATATTTTTCTTACTCTTTATTTTTAATATTTTGTAAAAAAAAACAACCTGTGCTTATGATGCGCAGGGACAACGAGCTTTCTCCGCCGGAAGGCGCGGCCAGCTCCCCCAGATCCGTTGCATCGTTGGGGCAGCAGTCTACTAGTTCTTCTGGAAGCGTAGGAGGTCCACTCATGTCTGGTCCCGTCGCAGCCCGTGGAAGCGTTTCTTCTACCGGTTTCAGCGATACAATCACTTTAAATGCAAGTTCGTCTTATGCTTCATTCACACTGAATCCTGTAGAACTCAGCCTTCCAGAGTTTGACTTCTTCCCAAGTTCAACGTGGGATATGATGGGAGGGCCGGATACTGGAAATCCGCACACTCCGTGGGGTGAACGTCCTGATTCAAGGCAAAGTCTAACTCCTGTGTCTACTCCAACTCCGCGGCCTCCCAGTGTTCCCGGATATAGCCCCGCGTGCCCAAGTCCACTTAACCCTTACTCTGTAGCGACTCAACCAAGCCCTGCGGCCGCAACCCCTTTTGCTAATAATTTTCCTTTTAGTCCCATCCAGGAACAAAGTGCAAATTCAAGTTTTCTCGAGGACCAAAAAGACAGTAAAGACGGAGTACCAGATGGCGAAAGTGGTAGTGGGCCTTCTCAAGATTCGGGTAGATTGAGAAACTTGTTAACCAAAAGAACCAGCACAAGTGAAGAAAGTGAATACTCAGAGGACACGGAAAGCCGAAACAAAAATCGAATTTTAAAAGGTTTACTTAACCAGGACGAAGAAGAAGAAACATCTCGACCAGCATCGAGAAGCGTTTCTGGAAGATTACCAAGTTCTGATTTTAGTAAAACTCCAACCAATAATAACAATATGTTGCTCAAGGTAAGTCATTTTTTTTTTTTACAAAGTTTTTTGAATTTGTACAGTGTTACCCCCCGACAAATTTACGTTTAAAAATTGTTCAATTTACATAAATATTTACTACGATACTTAAATTATATAACTGCAGTTTTGAAAACTTTTTTTTTTTTTATTTACTGTTTTACAATAGTTCAATGAAACTAAGAAATAAAATAAAATGAAGTTAGATTACACTCTTGTTTTTTAAAATGTTTATCACTCCTGGTTGTATGCATTTAAATAAACCAAAATGGTCTTTATAAAGATAAGACACGATTTTGTGACGCCAAATCGATTTTAAAAACAAAAAAAAGATTATGGACATTGTTTTACAGTTATTAAACGAGAAAAATGACGATGATGATGTAGAATCAAAAAAGCAAAATGCATTACTTCAGCAGCTGCTAAAAGAACAAGACAAGGACGCGAAACCTCATTTGGGAAATTTATTGATGGAATCATCTCAGGTTGGTTTTTTTTTTTTTTTTTTTTTTTTTTGCGCAATGATGAATTTTAAAAATTTTCAATTACTCAATTTTAATAATCATTTCAGCAATCTCAAGAGGATACGCTTTTAAAAAGTTTAGGTTTTCGTAACACTACCCCCTCTCCACCTTGTGGATCTGAGGGACTTACTGTAACTTCACTAATAGGAAATCGTAAAAGACCAAGCGACGAAAGCGATGGTGGGGGTCCTTGTAAAAGAGAAGGTCCTCATGCTAATAGTAATGTATGTGTTCAAAAATTTAATTAAAGTATAAATGTATTTATGTATTTATTTAATAATATTAAAAATTTTTTTATTAATATCTGTAGGTTTCTTCTTCTGGTAATAGTAAACTATGGGAAAAGAACAAAATGTTAGCTTCACTTCTCGCTAAACAGCCGTCCAAAACAACGCCTATTCCGCCCATACCAACTTCCGTAATATCGGCTACGCCTCAAGATAAATTACCCAAAATAGTAGACCGTCTTAAACCCGCTGGTTTGTTTTCTTCTTTTATCATTTATCCAAACCTTTAAATGTATATAAATCATGTACTCAATTGTTTATTTTTAAATTTAGGGTTAAGTGGTCAATGGCCAAATAGTGGTATGCAAAATATTACTGCCGTCGGTCCTGGACGACCTCAAGCACCAACGACTCATGTTAACCCTGCTCGAGGGCAAAGGCAGCAGCCTAATAATCAATTTCTCAGTCAAATTCTAAATCAACAACAAGAGCAACAAGGAGTTAGTAAAAAATTTTTAATCTTTTTTTTTTTTTTTTTTTTTTTAAATAATTGTCCATTTAAAGGTACAGATTTTTATATTGACGACGATTATTTAATTAAAAATTTTTTTAGTTTTATATGTAATACGATTGATCTTTTTATTTTATATTATTTATTAACTTGCATGATCTTGTCTTTTTTTAAAGCAGGGTGTTCAATTTCAGGGCGTTCAAATGAATAAACAACCTACCCCACAGCAGCAGCAACAACAACAACAACAGCAGCAGCAGCAACAGCCACAACAACCTGTGCAGGTGAGTTCTCAACAAACTCAGCAACAGTCACAGTCTTCACTGACTCAACAAGCCAATGTTCAGAATATAAACAATGAACATGGAATGTGGGATAATCAGTCTTCCGATCCTGTTTTGTCGGATTTATTGGATCAGGTGATAGATATTGTTCCCGATGCTGTTTGTAACGGTAAGTTTTCGTCTTTCGTTCCCATTTTTCCCATTTTTTTAATCTACTAAATTAATTTTTTTTTGTTTTTCCGTTCGCATTAGATTCTGCTACAATAATTAACTTGCTAGATCTTGATCAAAGTTCTTGCTATCAGGATCAGTTAAATGAAAGGTTGGCAATAAATGCAATTCAAAAGTCCTTGATGCTTTGCGAATCTGCTGTTAAGGGTCCTGCATCGCCCACAATTAGTACTCCACCTTCTTACAATTCTACCACGGTGGGTATTATTTTAATTTAATTATTTTTAAAATATTAAAATCAAGAGACTTAAACTATACGTTTTTTTTTTAAATTTAGCAAATGCCATCTAGCCAATCTGCAGAGTTCCCTCCTCCTCCGGTGTATCAGGTACAGCAACAACCTCAACCGAGAATACGCTTTAATTTACAGCAACAATTACCCGGTAGACCTGGTGCACCACAGTACACCGTAGCTTCGGGATCTCTCACTCAGGTTTTTCTTTACTTCATAATATTCCTAACTGATATTAACATAAATAAAAAACTTGAATTATTAAAAATTATTTTTTATTAGCATCAACAACAGGTACTTATGCAAAGGAAGTTACTGCAGGAACAGCAGCAAAAGCACCATAAACAAAGACTTTTACAACAGCAGCAGCAACAGCAGCTTTTAGTTCCTTCTAATGCTGCGGCTGACCAAATTAATCCTTCGGGATTACAAAATATTGATAATCTGCTCAACAATACTTTAGCACCAAACGTTTCGCTTCAGGTTTTATCAATTTTATTTTATTTTTTAGAATATCTAAAATTACCGAGAGTGTATTAAAAATTTTTTATAATTTTTATTTCATAGCGTTCCTCAAGCGTTCCGGAATCCCAACTTTCTCCTAATTATGGTTCTCAATTGCTGAATAGTAACAACGCACAGATCTCACCTGGGGGGCAGCGTCTTAACCAGCAGCCATATTCACCTCATTCGCAACTTACTTCTTCTCAGCAACCATTTAATAATTTTCCCCCTGCTGGAAATGGAGGTCAAACAAGATTATCTCCTCATCCTCCTTCTTTTCAGCAGTCTCAACTTTCTCCTAGAATATCTCAGGTGCGGTAAATTTTTAATTTTAATTAATATTGAGATGAGTCACATTTTTCAAAAGTAATTTAATGGAAAATTATTTTTATATTTTCGGGTGCAGGGTCAACAACCAAGTTATCCAATTGCGTCCCAAACACAAAATCAACAACCGCCAACAGGTGCCTGGTCTCAGCAAAATGTAAATCGACTTAGTATTCAGCAACAACAAAATCCGATGCTTAATGCTCAATTAACGGTGAGAAAAGAAAAATCAATGTAAATTTTATTATCAGTAATTCGATTTTTACATGAATTTTTTTTTTTTTTTTTAATGTTAATCAGAGCGGATATGGTAGCAGTACAGGACGATTTCCAGTTCAAAGACAGTCTCAAACAGGTCAAACAATGTCATCCGTTCGATCTCTAGCTAGTCCTGGAACACCTCCCAGGCAATCTCCTTTTCCTCCCGAAGCAGCATTTCCTCCTCCAGCATCCCCTACCACCGGAGGTTACCAAAATCAAGGGCAATACCAACAGATGCGATTGCAAAGAGCCGTATCTGCTCCTTCCGCAACCACACAGTTACCTGGTAAGTAGACTTTCTTATTATACATAACGTTTTGAAGAAATTTTTATCGTACATTTTGTTTGTATCACGATGACGATGAGGGGGAATGAATAAAACGGTATTTGAAAAGTTTCCTTTTTCAAAAAGAATAATTTTTTTTTATAAGAAAATATAAAAATTTGGATTAGGTTTCATCACGTGGCTATACATTATTTATTTATATTTTTTTCTCAGGTACATTTTGTGTTTTATTAATTTTTATATACAATTTCTTCAGACAATTCAACGCCGTATCATTTTACGTTATTTTTAATTTCAGTAAAAACCTGTTTTAGGTTACGAACGACGTTTTTTTTTCTTTTGAAAACACTTTTGAACTTGTTATATAAAATAATTATTAAGCGGTTAAAAAAAAAAAGAGAAAATTTTAATTAATTGAAAAATATTGGTAAAGATAATAATAAGTCGCATAATAACGAATTGCCATTTTTTTGGCCTGTCATTTACAGGTGGGATGAGTTCCCCGCGACAGTACAAGGAGATGCCCCCTCACTCCCCCTTTCCTATTTCCCTCGAACATCATTCGCACCACACAATATATCATCCTCATCCACCACCACCCGGTCCTCCCGACCTCCAGTACTCATATGATCATATGTACGGGGCGGGAGGCGAGAGATGCCGTTCCCAGCCAGGGGGTAAGTTGGAGACCGTGAAGCCGCTTTATATTGGGGACGCACTTTTGTGTTCTTTTTTTTTTTTTTTTTTTTTTGTTTTTTTTTTTTTTTTTTTAACAATTGCTTTTTGGCAGCACTGTCTCTGTCGTGTCACTAATATTATTTGTTATCATATTATTATGTGTTCTGTGTTACTATCAAATTATTATTATTATTATCATCATTTGTAAATGGTAGTAAAAAAAAATCATTAATTCAAATAATAATTTTCAATTCATTCCATTAAATGTTGTGTCATGAGAAAAATATTTGATGCCTTTGTTTTTTTTTTTTTTTTTTTTTAAAGTATTAAATATATTATAATTCTTTTCATTATTGAAGGCCCCTTTAAAACAAAAAAAATAATAATAAAGGTTTAAAATTTCTTCTTGTCTTTCACATATTGAAAATTATTTTTTACTTGCTAAAAAAAAAAAAAAAAAAAAAATATCAAGTTTTCAATCATTTGAATTGTTTTACTCTCATGAATTTTCAATTTTCCACGAATTTGCCAACTTTTCCCATTCATCCAAACTAAACATTAAAAACCATTGAAATCATTAACATTGGGATTATTTAAAATTCATTTTCATATCGTTTATATGTGTGTGTGTGTGTGTGTGTGTGTGCGTGTAAAATAAAAACATGAATATTTATTCGTATGTATGACTGTATATGTTTTTTTTTTAAAGATGTATTATACAATTAATAATTATTTAAATTCAAAAAAAAAAAATCACATTTTGTATACTACATCCCACAATTATTAAATCGTAAATAATTTTTCTAGAAAGCAGCCTCTTGCATAAATGAAAGGGAAAAAAAAAAAAAAAAAAAAAAAGAAAAAAAAATTATGGCAAAGCATTTTTTTTTTAATGGCTACTCAGTAGTAAAAAATGAAAACAAAAAAAAAAAATTTTTTTTTTTAATTGCTGGGCTTGAGCGATTTTTTTATACAATAATTTTGTTTCTGTGAATGAATTTTATCTAAGGGATACAAAAAAAAAATGGGGATGAAATATAATATTTGTTTTTGATTTAAATTTTTTTATTGAAATTAAATTCTTTTAAAGGTGGAAATAACAATAATGGAATTAATTCAGAATATGTAAGACAAGAATTAAGGGCTATCGTTGGAGCTAGAACGCAGCAGCAGCAGCAACAACAACAACAACAGCAGCAGCAACAACAGCAACAACAACAACAACAACAACCTTCTCCAAGACAGCAACCACACATTCAACAAGTGTCAGCTGCGGATCTCGAAGCTCTTGGATTAACATTTGAAATTTCATCGGGTAAAAAATTTTATTTTATTTAAACATTTTTTGGGGTTTAAAATTTGTTGTTATTACGTGTTTCTTTTTATATGGGTATTTAATTAATTTTTTTTTTAATTTTCCTTCTTTCTTAAATGAATATAAAGAAGAAGAAGAAAAATGTAAAATCATTTTTCTCTCTCTTTCTATCTCCTCTCTCTCTCTTTTTTTTTTTTTTTTTTTTAATTTTTGGTTTCCCTTTAAATGTTTTTTTTTTTTTTATTGATTATTTGTTTCTTTATTTATTTATTATTATTTTTTTAATGAATTAATGTGACTATAATTTAAAAAGAAAGAAAAGTAAATAATGGGGTGGTTTTTTTTGTCAGGTCCCAGCGAGAGCCCGAAGCTGTGGGGAAGCATTGCCTCGGAGTTGGGGGCCCCGTCGCCACAGCCGGGCCTCTCAAACAGGGTAAGCTTTGTCGCTATTTTTTTTTTTTTTTTCTATAACTAACTAATCCTTATTTAAATACTTGATTTGATTTATTTTTTGTTGTTGTTTTTCCTTTTTGGGAAAAAATAGAAAACAATTTTAACGTTTTTGCTTTTACACTATGCTATGCTATGTAGTTAATAATAATAATAATAATAATAACAAGCTTGAAATTTTTTGTTTTTTATTTTTTATTTTATTTATTGATTACATTTTTTATTTTATTTTTTATTAATAACTTTTTTATTGAAAAAAAAAAAGAAAAATAATATAAAAAATTGCTTGCTAGCTTTTCATAGATAGTTTTTTATTTTTTGCTGTGCAGAATTTTAATTTTTTTTTTATTTTTTAATTTTAATTTTAAAAATGGTGAATGTGTCGAGCATTAATTATTTAGAGGTAAAAAAAAAAAATTTACATGTAAGTGAATAATTGTTTTGTTCCATAATTATTATTATTATTATTATTATTTTTTTTTTTTTGTAGAATTCTATGGAGGAAGTCCAGCGACAGGGTGATCAAAAATCATCCTTACTTCAAAAACTTCTTTCGGAGTGATTGATGTCCGTGAAGATTTGTTTTGTTGGCTGTGATGTGTTTGACCGGAACTTTGTTTTTTTTCCCCCCCCCTCCCCCTTTCCCCTTCTATAAAAAAAAAAAATTTCAAACTGAACGATGGTGAGGTAAATATTTTTAAAAAAAAAAAAAAAAAAAAATTATTTATATTTTATTTAATAATTAACTGTTGAATCGATGAATGAAATATTTTTTTTTTTTTTTTTTTAATGCATACATTGTGTGTGTGCGTGTGTGCGTGCGTGCGTGCGTGCGTGCGTGAGTCTGTGCGTTTTTGTCTGGGTATTCAGTTTGAAATTTTTTTTTTTTTTTTTAATTGTAATTTTAAAAGACTGCATAGTGTTGGTGCGTGAGCCTCCACGATATTGTTTCAGAATATTATATATATATATATATTATATATATATATATATATATATATATAGAGAGAGAGAGAGATAAAGTTTTT